ATGAATGAACGAATTAAGGCGACGCCACTCGACCATGCGATGACGTCATTCTTTGTTATTTATTATAAGTCGTATAGTGAAGGCCGTAAACATTTTTCTGATAAACATATGTTAAATATCGATATGGGTCTCGCTATTCTGGAATTCTAGAGTGACTTAAATAGCATGAATGTTTTATTAATTATAACCATTTGTTTTCTGACAAAAATATTTTAGCTTTTGAGAAATCTGAGAGAGTGTAAAGAAAAATGCAAAAGAGAAAAGTCTGAGTCTAATATGACTTGGCAATTATGGGGAAAATGTGTTTTCATTTCTTCAAACAAGACAGATGAAAAATTCTAATAAATTCCAATGATACACTGAGAAAATATTTATATGGCTGGATAATTAATTAAGTGTTCCCCTTTCCAACATGTTTATGATAATATATATAAGTATGTAAGTATGACATTATGACTTGGTATTAAATTTTATTTTTTAAGGTTTTTGATCCTAACTAACTTTTATTTAAAAATGACCATGACCCATTTAAATTTATTTATTATTTATATTTAAACAACGATATTTTTATGATCTACATACAGTTATTTTCTTTTGAAAAGATATCATCGAATCGATTATCAATATTATTCTTTTGACCTTATAAATAAAATACCAAAAACAAGTTGAATAAATAATGGATAGTAAGCTAAAAGTGGAACAATCGGGTTATGTTTGCCCACGAAAAATGACTAAGTGCAGAAATGTGTACTCAAGATAGGGATCCCCACTCCAAACCCCTCGTAACCCTCCTGCCCACTGGCCTCATAATGTTCGGGCTAATTGCACGACCTGCGCTCCGTGGGCTGCGAAAAAACAATCAGAGGAATATCAGAGCTGAAAAGGGGATTTGCCTGCAGCTGGGACTGCAATTAGGGCGCCCAGTAATTTGCGTCACGGGCACGTGAGGAACTTAAAAAACTGCAGGAGGAATGTTGCCCAGATATAAATAGCCGCAGTCGGGGATGAAGGAAAGTGCCACAGCCCATGGACGCCCTTGAAAATGGCAAAGTGGGCGTGTCGCCATGACAACATGCATTCCAGCCACAACACAAAACAGTTCACAGAAAAAAACAGTTCGATTTTGAATGGTAATTAAAATCAACTACCAAAAAATCAGAGTTCAATAACCACTGCTGACCCATGAAATTTTTTTCATATATAATATGTGAGTTAAAATTTAGAGATTTAATAATAATAATTATATTATTAAATATATTGTAATTATGATATATTTTTAAACACATTAATTATTAAATCAGGGTTCAATTCCCACTGATGAGACATTAATTTTTTTCCTTTTTTAATACGTGAGTGAAAATTTGAAGATTTAATAATATTAACTTATATTTTTAAATGTATTATAATAATAATATATTTTTTACATCAGGGTTCAATAACCACTGATGATCTATTTATTTTTTTCATTTACAATTTTTGAATTAATATTTGATGGCTTAATAAAGTTATTTTATTTTGTTAAATATATTATTTTAATTAAATGTCATCTCATACAATTTTTCCAGTGTATTAAGTGACTGGCAGAAAAAGGAGTTGCAAAAGTTGCCAGTTCTCCTCGTCAAAGTCAAAGATATTGCTGACCAGATACTTTTTACCAGACACATTTGATAGGCTGTCGGCTACTGAGCATGGAGTTTCACTAAAGACCATCCATCCGATTTGCTCTAGGAATTTATGATGCAGATCCGGTGTGTGTTTAAGATATTTTTCTAAGCCGGAAGCTATTGGAGGAAAGGGATAAGAAATGGGCAATTTTACAATCAACTTAAAAAATAACACGAAATGAGTGAATATATCAAAAATATAACATTTACACATTATTGTTTCATAATAAATACCACTTTTTTTTACTTTCAAAGTAAAAATTGATAGAAAATATCATTAAATATGTATAATAATGATTTACAAGCACTTAAATAAAATATATTCTCTTAAGAAAGGGTATTCCGCATGGTATCTTCTTACTTTTCCGCCTTTTCATCGGGCCATTAGCTACTCCTCACAGGTGATTAGCGACCGAGGCAATATTTGCCAGCTGATTGCGTTTAATCCGCAATGCTTATGTGGTCTGCAGATGTGGGCCAGGTGAAAACCAGAGCATTTTCAATTAGCCAATAAAACGGGCTGGGAGCTGACCTCGAGTCACGGCAGTGACAAAGATGAATGGCTTTGTTTGCCGACCAACTCAACTGGCAATTAGCCACAACAAGTCGTCTAGGCCAAAATGTCATCACGAAGGCGCTGGAGGAGTGCCCTCTCAAAGTTAGCCAGCAAATTAAATTCCAGTTTATTGATGTCAGGCGAGGAGTCGGGACACTTGTTGTCTCTGGACAAAGAGGGATTACAATTTTACGACACCCCCGCGGAAGTGGCCCATCAGAAGCCATCTCGTTGGCTCTAATTGCCGGCAAACGATGGTGCCTGTTATTCACACAGTAAAAATACTACTACTTTTAAGGGATTAACGTAATAAAATTGTAATACTTTTTACAATATCTTAAGCGATGGCTTTTTCTAAATATGGGATTATACAGAAATCACACAAGTTATTCCATATAGTATAAAATTCCATTTCTTATGAAACATAATCAAACCATATTTATGGCAAATTCTCAGAAAAAGATCGTTATATTTGAACTCATTTTCTCATTTGCAGATTAAAAGTCAAGCCCTGGGGTTTTAGCACTATGTTTCTTTAAAACAAACACCAAGCTGACATGATAAGTATATGTAATCAGCATAAGAAAATGTGAAACATAACAAAAGCATTGGCAATCTTAGGTCAGTCGTACTTTACATACCCTTGCCGTTATAAGAAAAAATATAAAAATATAGTATGACCTAAATATTGTAGAATATATCATTCTTGGTGTTTATGTTGAAACAAGGAAGAACGCTATAGTCGAGTACCTCGACTATCAGATACCCGTTACTCAGCTAAATAGAGATATGCAAGTAGCAAAGCTTTAAGCGTTTTGGGCGTTAGAGTGGGCGTGGCAAATTTTTTTTGGACCAATCGATAGGTATTGACGAGACCAATACATTTCAGTTAAAATTTTTTATTCAGCATAAAAATTGTGGGCATCACAGGTTTTCGCGGTTTGTGGGCGTTAGAGTGGGCGTGGCATATTCGCGTGACAAACTTGCGCTGCGTATAAGGCTACGGAATCTAAATCTGAAATCCCAATTCTCTATCTTTGATAGTTTCCGAGATATCCACGTTCATAATTACGATTTTTTGAAGTTTGTGGGCGGTTTATGGGCGTTAGGGTGGGCGTGGCAAACTTTTTTTGGGTCAATCGATAGGTATTGATAAGAACATTACATTTCAGTTAAAATTTTTAGTCTAGCATCAAAACTGTAGGAGCCACAGTTTTGGGCGGATTGTGGGCGTTAGAGTGGGCGTGGCACTGTACTGAAACAAACTTGCGCTGCGTAAGAAGCTCAGGAATCTGCACGCCAAATCTCAATAGCCTAGCTCCCATAGTTTCCGAGATCTCAGCGTTCATCCGGACAGACAGACGGACAGACGGACAGACGGACATGGCTAGATCGACTCGGCTAGTGATCCTGATCAAGAATATATATACTTTATGGGGTCGGAAACGCTTCCTTCTGCCTGTTACATACTTTCCGACGAATCTAGTATACCCTTTTACTCTACGAGTAACGGGTATAAAAATCTATTTGTGGGAATGGGTCCCTATGGTTTTATAATAGAGAATGCTCTTGGGAGAACGAGAATACTTTCCATCACTGAATTTCAAGCTTCTGAACAAAATGATAAGACCTCTACAAGGAAAAAAAAAAATGTGTATATCAATTTGGAAACCATGGTGTTCATGTTTTTATTTTTATTAATATTTCGATTGTATCTAAAATATTTACAGGATAAAATTCCGTTTGTCCCTATAATAACTATAGGATAGAATCGTTTAATACCATCTATACATTTTATAAAAATAATTATGTTTTGAGGGATAATTTTAAAGCTTTTAAATAAAATGTTAAACCTTTGAGAGGATACCAAAAATGTGTATGACAATATGGGAACCATGTACTTGGGGTTTATGTTATTATTTGTATATTTTTGTGGCCGTGTGGCCAATGGCTAGTCAACTGGCTTAATTGTGCATGTCCCGATGTCATTTAGTGACTTAGACTGGCTCATCGTGTGTGACAGTGAATTATGACCACGTGGATGACCTGTTGCCCCATTTGTAGGTGTGGCCCACCCCCTCCCTTTCTTTCCACCCCTTCCCCTCCCCCAAAAGACTTATCATCCGGAAACTCTCATTTCAGAAAAACGGATATGACACCAAAAAACAAAAATAATGAAGCAATGTCTTGCGCATTGTATTGTTGCTGTTGTTTATGCGTGAGCATAATATCTGGTAGACATACAAAATGGTTTTCTCCTTATCAAATTATCGGGCCTGAATGAACTGCAGAGCCCATACAGAAATGCTTATCGCTGCTACACTCCAACAACCCAGCGAAAAGCTTTATTCTTTCTCGGATCGTTGGGTTGTTCGCTTGTGCGTGAGAATCGGATTGAAGTAGAAAACAAAAGTCACAAAAAAATAGTATTTATATTCATAAAAAATATAACATTCTTACGATTACGAGGGCAACACAAAAATATCGAAAAAAAATTTAAAGTACCAAACAAAGCACAATTGAATTTCTGCTCAAATGCAAAATGCATTTATTATAAACATTATTTCTATGTACAATAAATCTATCAACAATAAGTGAGAATTGTATGTGATTCATTATTTATTTTCGTAAAAAGACGTACACCGCACCAGAACGTTTAAACAATATAGATAAATAATTAAAAACAAAGACCATAGCAAAAAAATATTTAAAGACTCACCACCAAATAACTTTTTAAAACGCAATAAATAGCATCTACAACAAACTTTTGTTTTTTACAGTGCAGCGCTAAGTGTCTACCAGCGTGACCATGGCATTACTTTGCCAAATGTGTTAAAATTGTGAATATTTAGGAGAACAAAATTAGCAAAAATCCAACCGCAAAGCAAACAAACGATCTGCCAGATGGCCATACTTATAAGGAGGACTCTGCTGCCCCTGCTCCTGATCGCTTGGATCCCGTGGAGCGATGCACGTAAGTAGCCTTGGGCAAATCCCATTCAAAAAAACCCGTATTTCTAGAGATTCGATTTTATTTTAAGAGTTTCATGGAACTGATAAGAGAAAGCAATGAAAACACACAATGGCTAACGCTTTCAATTTGCACAATTAAAAAAAAAATATGTACATATCTGGGAATATGCACTGATGTTTATGTGTGGGCACTTGCTTCCTGTCAACAACAATCTCACATTCTTTATAATTAAATGCACTGAAGAAAGAATATCAAAATAACAGGGACAACGTATCTTTAATTATAAATAATACCTTTTTTCATAGGATAATTTTTTGTACAAAAAAACAACTTAGTTATCTGAATTATTGCAATAGAACTGACTTAAAATAATATTTTTTTCATTTAATGCACTTAAAGAAAATCCTGAAAGCTACCACTCCTACAAACATGCTTACTTATTAAAATGGTTTAAACCTATACAGATTGGAAAAAGAATTACTGTATATCCAAAAAACTGAGGCTTTCAATATTTAATACATCAAATAAGAATAATATTTAATGCTGATATAATAATAAATTATTATAGTTAGTATTACTTTTTCCTCTGTGTGATGATATAGTCTGCTCATCTTCAGGCTTCAACCAGCCCAGACAGATCTACAGACACCGCTTCGCACTTTGAACCTAGCTTGATAAACCTCCGAATTCTAGACAAGACGTGCTTCTTATCTAACTAATTCAAGTGTTTTATTATTAGTTATAGTGATGCCATTTTTATGTACCTATATTTTTTTTACACCAAATCATATCATATATGTACATATGTAATGCACGAGGCATCGCATCGAGCATAATATAATACGCCTATCATCAACGCAATTGTTATCGCAGTAAACAAATAATTGATTCCGAGGCAAAGAGGCAAAACAAACTAGTTGAGATGCCACATCAGAGGCGTAGCCATGGGGATACCCCCTGATCAATAGACTACGAAACTCGGGATCGGTGAAGGATTGTACAACTGCGCCCATGGCGCTCCCTAGAGGGTCGCTCAACCGCAAATCACTTGAGGCCATTATTATAGCGCCACCAGTGGCTGGGGATATGGTTTTCCAAGGGGGAAACCGGAGGCTACAACCCGGCAATAGATAAAGCGGCATGTGAAGTGTTCCGTTGTAGGGCATTCGAGCGATCAATGAACAATGTACGAGTACAGTTGACCTTCTGTCATACACAGAAAACAATATTATCATTATAAATTAGGTACATATTAGATCACACAAGGTAAATAATGAGTTATAATGTACTGTATTTAAAAAAAAACTTATGATACAGTCTATAGGCTTTTTAAATATTAAAAGATTTCAGTTGGTGTATTTATGTATTTAGAGAGAAAAGTCTTTAAAAAGATAAGGCTACCTACAAATAAGTAGTATACCTTTATAAAATATCAACTAACAATGTTTCCAAAAACTATAAAGGTTATATTTTTGATATACAAAATATTCTCTTTACATTTTTCAGTACCGCTTCAATCGTTCTCTCCGGATCCCGATGATAGCACCGAGAATTGCGGCGGCGAGAATGGAGCTCCCCTGATGACGCCCTGCAAGAGCTCCATAATTCTGGAAGCCCAGACAAGCTCCACGCTGAAATGCGAGGGCGAGGATCCGATGGTCTGGTGGACCAGCTCTGTTGATCATCTGCAGGGAATCGCGGGGGATCGGTTTGATAATACAGAGGATCCGGCACGACCATACGGCACCAGCCTAACACTCTACGAGGTGACGGCCGACGACGTGGGTGCCTATTATTGCGTCAAGGATTCGGAATTCAACAAGATCTCGGAGAAGTCGGACGAGGCGATGGTCGAGCTGGTGAACCAGGGTCTGGCCAGCTCCATCTACGTGTACGTGAACGACCCAGTTAGTAAATTGGCGCCCGCCATCAGCTCTATAAATGCCCTGCAATACACCGACGTTGTGATACCCTGCAGACCAGCTATGCCCGATACAGAAGTGTGGCTGGAGACCAACAATGGAGAGGTAAGTGGACGGGATGTTAAGCCAACATTTATCCACCGCAGGATAATTTTAGGAGGAAGTATTTTATTATTATTATATGTTCAGAAATTTTTAGACTTTTTTTGGATGGATCTATCCTCTAAATTCCTTTTGGTTTCGCGAATTATGATTTCTTCGTCGATTTTTAAAAAATGTATTTGATAATCCTCAGATTTTAAAATGTAAATCCGAAGTATAATAGAATGTATGTATTCAAAAAGCAATATTATTGATTGATGACAAACGTTATAATATAGACTGTAAGATTATTATATAATGGATATAGATTATAACAGTTTGGTCTTACTGGCATAACCTCTCAACTGATGAATTTCTTTTCCCGGCGCGCAGAACGCACGATGGCTAATCCGATCGAATGGTCAGATTCAGGGGAGTCCGAAGTTCTTCAAGAGTGTGAGGTACCACCCCAGGTGGGGCTTCACCTTCCATGTCACAAGCCGTATGGACGGTTACGTGTATTGCAATTCGACGAACAATTTTAGACTCATTGACGTTTTCTACACAGAGAGTATGTCACAGTTTGTTTTTGCATATCAATAGTAGTAGTTACGCCCTTATGATCCAAAAATGTATATACTATACTGTACAGAAAGCCTAAATGTAAGACATATCATTATAGATATTATACCTACCATTATAGCGTAGCATTAACAAACCAGTTCCAAGTCCTTAACTGTATTGATAGGCCGCTTCTTAGGTTTCCATTTTATTACCCCATTTTTGACCCATTTGCCTCTGCGCAGACATATTCCAGCACATCTGTGGGTCGATACGATCCGAAAAGGGGATTCACCATCGAAATCCGCAGCATCACGGATGGCGGCGAGTACTACTGTCGGCCCAGTCCGCCCTTCCCGCACAACGAAGAGGAGTATACCAGCGTAGAAGTGCACTTTATTGGTAACGGTCACATTGATAGTGAGTTTTTGCACCCCAAAGTTTGTGATTTCCGTCTATACATGTCGTAAATATTGCTTTATCTTTTTGGAATCGATCATTTGAAGCGGTTAAGGTTTTGGTTTTTAGAGGCCGAGGTTCTAATCTACCTATTCCCTTCGAAATTCATGGCTTTAACACACTCTATAGCCAATAGACAAAATTTGAATGCACTCAAGTTGTTTACGCACTCATTAAAATGAAGTAGGATATTTAATTTGGCTACACAAAAATTAAACTTCAAAATCTCAATTGGTGTTTACTGGTTTTTAAAAATGAACTATCTGTAATTAAAAAAAATATATATACATTTCTCTGATCACCATTGTAATGAAAGTTTTATAATGTCACTGCTTGCAAGTTATATACATGTGCTAACCTGTGGTATTTCTCACTTTCTCCATGTTCCACCCACTATTCCTTGCTCTTAAATTTAAAAATATTGATTGACTACCCGAACCCACTGTCACGTTAATCTGCTAACTCCTCCAGAAACCGGATTGGAAAGTCCCAATACCAGCCCTCCGACATCGGGGGCCTTGACTAACATTGGCGATGGCGATGTTACTAACCAATCGACGAGTAAAATGGCACTTATCAGTGTTGATGGTGATGGTGCTCTTTCCTGGGATCGAGTTAGGCGTAGTCCAGCCCGTCTGGCACCGATGAATGCGTCTCCCTCACCCAGACCAGGGCGTAAGTGTTACTGTCCTGGCTATTGATGATCTATTGTTGGTCTGTTGTTGATCTGTTGTTGATATATTGTTTATATGTTGTTGATCTGTTGTTGATTCATTGTTGATCTGTTCTTCTGTTCCCTTGTGTTGTCCTGGCTGTGATCATGTTTTGCATCCCTTACCTTCTGGCTTTGTTTCTGTTTTTATTTTGTTATGGACTGATTTAACTGCTGTAGCTAGCTTATTTGGTACTAATCCCGGCTAACACCTACCACCTAAGTACTGTAAAAACATTAACTCATTTGTGTCCACGTCTATGTCTCACTCTAACCCCTCCCATCTGCATGAAGCTGTATCATTGCTGGCCAGTCCCAGTCCTTTGCGAAGGGTATCTAATAACGCTAAACTCTCTACCAACGCCACAGAAAGCGGCAAGCCCCTGCCAAAGCCCGTGATCAAGTCCTCCGTGGATCATCACGTTATCACGAACACCAACTTCACCCTCGTGTGCGAACAGTCGGCCTTGATTGAGTCATTGTACCATATTGCCTGGGAAATACCGTCTCGCGATGAGGTCAGTAAAACTGAAGACGAATTAGAAATAATAGGTAACACAACCCATCTTTGTGCTCTCCCACAGAATCGCATCAATATCACCACAGCAGAAACCGATCCCAAGACTAGAAACAGCACCCACCAGTTGGGCAGAAGCATTTTGACGGTATTGAACGCCAAACGCACAGATTCCGGCTTATACACGTGCATAACCACCGATAAATCCCAAAACACAAAATACTTTGTCAGATATATGATTAAAGTTTTAGGTGGGTTTAACAACATACAAAATAGTATTTTTTAAAAACGCAGAATGAGGAAATTTTGTATATTATGGGTAATACCATATTATTCCTATACCCACAGGACCAAACGAAAGCTACCTGAAGGTGTACGAGCCTTCGAAGCACTACAACGTGCAGGAAATGGCCAACCGCACGATCCAGATGAGGGCCAACTTCGAGGGCTACCCGACGCCCAGCTTCACCTGGCTCAAGCCGGACGGAACCGAGGTCCGACAGTCGGAGCACAACTTCAAGATCTTCTCCGAGGAGCTGGGCACAATGCTCCAGGTGCTGAATGCCCAGCTGGAGGACAGCGGCACCTACGTTCTGCGGGGCACCAATACATTTGAGACCGTGCAGCTGGAGTACAACGTGAGTGTGAGCGACGGTCCGGTCCTGAGCATGGGGGACGTCTACGTCCAGGTGGGATCGGTGGCGCGACTGGAGTGCACCGTCCGCTCCCATCCGCCGGCGATAGTCACCTTCTTGTTCCGTCCCTGCAGCCTGGAGCCCCGATGGCCGACGTGCTCCGTGCTCGAACATAACTTTAGTGTAAGTACCTCGATTGGCTTTTAACTAAGTCCACACTCTTCATTTCGTTATAAGGATTTACCTTAATTTTCTTTTTACTATGTGTATACTTTTTATTTCGGTGTAAGGTTTTACCCCTATTTGCTTTTAATTTTGTGTCATATTCTTTACATAGTATTGTTGCATACTTTTATACGCATTCTAAGCTTTAAATATTTTGTTGCATACTTTTATACACCTTTTATATACCTAAATTGAAATTTAAAAGTAATTTGAAGACCCTAGTGACTTTTGTGGCCTCCAGGTATATGAAATAACTTTTTATAATAATTATATATTTAAGCTTATTGTATTTGTATTTGTCCCTAATCATCTTTCAATTGCTTTTTCTGTGCCGTCCCATGGTTTGGTGTTGTCATTCTGCAGACATCAGATGCGCAGGAGAAATATAAGGTACTATATTTGCTTATAGCCCACACCCTAAACCTTTCGATCCGAATTTACAATCAATCTTTGCCACCACCCACAGTTCCTGACGAAGGCAAGACCCGGTAAACTGAGTGTGGAAAGCATATACGAGGTGTCCTTCCTGCCCACGGATCCGGGAATACTCACCTGCGTGGCCGAGAACAAGGTGAATGGAAAGGAGCGAAGAGCCTTGACCAAGGCCCATGTATTGCTGGGTAATATTTCCGAGAACATGACCATTCATGGCTTTGATAAAAGTCACAAGATCGCCAAAGAGGAATATGTGAACTTTACCTGCGAGGCGCTGGCCTATCACTTTGATGGTAATCTTCAATGGCTCCTCGATGGCGAGGATTTGAAGGAGACCGAACGTAAGACTTTTCTAAGTTCATAATTTGTTTAATGTAATACATTAAATTTGTAACACTTTCGCTTTCAGTGGTTCGAACTGAAACTAGTCGTACCAACTACTCCTATAGGAGCACCATTCACATAAATTCGATATCTGACAAGGATCAAGGGACCTACGAGTGCCGGGCCTATCACAATGCGAATCACAGCATATACACCGGACGCGAGATATTCTTGAACGTCTATGATCCCTTTGCTCCTCAGTGGGTGGACACTAGCCTGAAGGACCACTCGAAAATAAAGCGAAAATTAGGCCAGGGCGTGGAGCTGGATTGCGCCTCCGATGCGATTCCCTTGGCCAAGGTGCGGTGGTACAAGGACGACAAGGAGCTGACCGAAACGAAGTTCAGAAACATCACAGTAAACGATTCCAAGCTGGTGATCATGTTCCTCTATCCCGGCGACGAAGGCGTCTACAAATGCCAGGTGGAGAACCGGTTGGACATGATCGAGAGGTCCTTCACGGTGGTTATTACGGGTGAGTGTGACTTTAATATTGGTATTTCAACATTTAGATGTGGCTGTTTAGGGAGAATATACATTTTATAAGGATTCATTTCTTATATTAGCAACTTATAAGGTATCACGTCAATGTTGACTTCTCCTTATCTTGACCGATCTTCATAACTTATTCATTTTGTTCTTCTTTTGCAAAATTTTATAGATCTTCCCGGCATCACCATGGCCTGGGTGTGGTTCGGAGTGACACTTTTCCTCATCCTGATCAGCCTGTGCGTCTTCCTGGCCATTCGCTATCAGAAGGAGCACAAACGACATCTTCAATTGAAGGAAGCTGGCTTGGCCAACTTCGAGAAGGGTGCCGTGGGTCACATTAATCCCGACATGACCATGGACGAGCAGGCGGAATTCTTGCCGTACAATCGTAAATTCGAGTTCCCGCGGGAGAACCTAACGCTGGGCAAGCAACTGGGAGCCGGAGCCTTTGGCGTGGTGCTCAAGGGAGAAGCCATAGGAATCCTCAAGGAGGAGCCCACCACCACGGTGGCGGTCAAGATGGTCAAGCGAACGGCCGACAACGAGGTGGTCAGGGCACTGGTCTCCGAGCTCAAGATAATGGTCCATATGGGCCAGCACTTAAATGTGGTCAATCTCCTGGGAGCCGTCACTAAAAACATTGCAAAACGTAAGTTCTGAGAAATTCAAATATTCATATATCATGATATCAAGATCACTATGGTAATAACTTATAATGTATATAATAATATCAAAATACCTGTATTTCTTAAAGGCGAACTCATGGTCATTGTTGAGTACTGTCGCTTTGGCAATATTCAGAACTTCCTTCTGAGGAACAGGAAGTGCTTTATTAATCAAATTAATCCGGATACCGATCACATAGATCCCTCCATCATGACCCAGCGCATTTCCGACAACTTTGACCTGCACCGGTAAGTTTTTACGGGCCAGTAAACTAGTTTATTAACCCCTAAGATAAAAAAACGTCAAAGTAAACTAACCCTAACTTTCGATAACCGTTGTCTTGACTAACTCTTATATTGTTTTGATTCTTGGTTTTGGTACTCTTGTGATAAAACTTAACTACCGACTAACTATCAAACAAACACGATCCTCTATGTGATAAACTCTTGCTAAACTCCAAACACACTCACACACACACCAAACACTGAATGTTGTTGCACCTGTGCTTGTGATCCCGCTCCTGGTTGTGGTCTCCTCCTCTGTGCTCCCCGCTCTATGTGCCTCCCCCTGGGTCCTTGTGGTGGTCACTAAACTCCAACTAACAGCGATGCGAATGGTGGTGGTGGCTTGAAATACGCCAATATCGGTTTTCCGATCCACTCGTACGTCAATGAACCCCACAACAATAACACGCAACCGCCAAATCATCGCAGGAACTCGGACAATGATCCCCGATCGGGCACCCGAGCCGGACGTCCCGGATCCGGAAACGCCACCTACAGCTACGACAGACAGATGGACACATGTGCCACCGTGATGACCACAGTGCCGGAAGGTAGGTGTCTTATTTCTAGGAGATATCGGAGAAAGCTATGATCGTGATCTTCTTAGACCCAATTTAAAATTTGAAATAATATATATTGGTCTTATAAGAAACCTCTTCCGTTTCATCCATTTATACTAGTGGTTATCAGCAGAACCAGCGGCCTTACGCCATGTGCTATAAAATGTTCTCTGCCGGCGATCTGCCGCCACACATACATAGACACGATTCGCTCCTTCTGCTGTTGACCACTGAATTAATCACAGTACTTTTCAGAGATTTTATTTATCTTAAATACTATAAAAGAAGGGTCTAAAAAAAGGAAAGTATCTCCTGCAGCCTAAACGTCTTAAGATAAAAATCTTTAAAAAAAATAAACTCGAAAATATTTCAAAGACGACCCTAAAGTGCTTAAAAATTCTATTTATTTCTTTTTTAATTTTTTTTGCCACTTCTCGGTTATAAATGTTATCAAAGTGGTTTTAAAATATGATTAAAAAGATCATAAGCTCATTGTTGTTGAGCAACTGAACTAATCTTATTAAAATTCAACAGATGATCAAATAATGTCCAATAACTCCGTACAACCCGCCTGGCGTTCCAACTACAAGACAGACTCCAACGAGGCCATGACAGTGACCACTGTGGATCTGATCAGTTGGGCCTTCCAAGTGGCCCGCGGCATGGATTACCTGTCCTCCAAGAAAGTGTTGCATGGGGATCTGGCTGCCAGAAATATTCTGCTCTGTGAGAATAATATCGTAAAGATTTGCGACTTTGGTCTGGCTCGATCCATGTATCGAACAGATAACTACAAAAAGTCAGGTATATAAAATAATAAGTAAATGGTATATATTCAGATTTGTTTAATATATTTTCCTCCTTATATTAGAGAGTGGCAAACTGCCCATCAAGTGGTTGGCGCTAGAGTCCCTGAGCGATCATGTGTTCAGCACCTATAGCGACGTTTGGTCCTACGGAATTGTCCTGTGGGAGATGTTCTCGCTGGCCAAGGTTCCATATCCTGGTATAGATCCCAACCAGGAGCTGTTCAATAAGCTGAACGATGGGTACCGTATGGAGAAGCCGCCATATGCCAACCAAGAACTCTACGAGATTATGCTAGAGTGCTGGCGGAAGAAGTGAGTGTTGCTTTTTGATTATATTACATTATATTATATGATTTCATATTATTTCAGTCCTGAAAGCAGACCCTTGTTCCCTGAGCTGGAGCAGCGTTTCGGCAATATGCTGGGCGAAGATGTGGCCAATGTAAGATCCCCTCTTTATAGAACGAGTAAACATAATGTTATATGTGACCATTTACCTTACAGCACTACCTGGACCTGAACAACCCGTACATGCAGAGCAACATGGAGTACATGAAGACCCAGACTACGGATTACCTGGGCCTGATGGGATCCCCCGACGAGCTGGCGCCCTCCGCTCCGCGCTACGTAAATGGACGCGTAGTACCCAAAATCCGTGAGTATTTCTTTTCAGCCATGACCATGGATCAGGTTACTAACTCTGCACAATCACAACCATCCAAACATGCAATTGCACCCATTCGCGCTGGCACACTAACTTCACAGACATCTGTGAGTCGCCGGATGACTACACTCCGATGTATCCGCCGAATACCGAACCCGATGCCAGCACCGCCATATTTTCACCCACGCGCCTTGAAAACGATGCCTCCGACTTTCCGGACTTCTCAAGTGAAACCACTTTCCAATTCCCAGGAGAGCGGCACTCGCCCACTTTGAGTAACAATCTGAACAGCGGATCGAGTAAGCCGCTTCGCAAGAAGAACGGCCTGCCGACGGTGGATGCGGCGGACCAGGCGCCGGAGGAGATACCCATGCTGCATCGACGCTCCACGGGATCGGAGGAGAGTCCGGAGCAGGGCAGGCGATTCAATCAGGCCCTCAAGCAGCAGTACGTCACTCCGACGCCCTCGCCACGCCATCATGTGGAGACAAAACTCAATGGGGAGTCCTCCGAAAGCTATGTGAATGTGAAGCCGCCCAGGAAGAATATACCCGGCAAAACCTCAACCGGTGGTGGGGGTGCTCCTGCTGGGGGTGGCGGTGCCCCCACGGACGCCTTCTCGAATCCCAGCTACCAGCCACTATCCACCGTCAACGAGAAGGAGCAGCGAAGGTACTAGGATGTATCGGAGCCATTAGCCTAAGATTAAGACCTCTTCACAGCTCAGTTGGAGTTTTAAATGGCATTTAAATTAGTCAATTCTAAACGAAATCAACTGATACATTATTGGCCTTAGGAAACCAGGTTCCTGAAAACATAATATAGCACGATATAATCTTTGAAATTTCAACTCAACTGCTTAGGGGCCTTTAAGATAACAATTCTACAAAGTGGCATTGTTATGATTCTGATATAGACTTAAGACCACCCACACTCACTCCATGTTATATACTATTAATGCCATTTCATGTTTTAATTTAGTCTAGACCTAAGCCTAAACTTATCTCTGTAACTGAATGTCTTGTATTTTGTGTGTGCATGTACTTTCGACTACTCAAATACAATGGGTATAACAACTATATCATCTAGTGCTTTGTTATCTAGAGTGGTCAGCTTATTCTTTAATTTAATCATCTATTCTAAGGCGCCGACGTTTTTCCTCAAGCTCTAGTTCCATGAGCTCGTTCTTCAGATTAATTGACCTCAGCTCCAGGCGATGTTTCTCCGCAGATCTTATGTTTTCGTTGTAGTAGAATCTTTGTTGAAGTCGTATCAACGCAATTTGCTCATCGTCCAATAATCTCTTCTTGCTTCGTTTACTTATAATAAATCTTCTTGGTAGTTTTTTCTTCACGAACTGGTGTTCGGGTTCTGTTGGATTGTCCTCGGGAGTTTCCTGAAACTGTTCCTGAAACAGGGTTAGGCAAAGGTTTATATCTACTAAAACTCTACAGCAAACCTCATTATTTGTTTCCGTTTTAAAAGTTGGGCTTTCAATACTGTCGGCTGAGAATAAAAATTCATTATAATCTATTTTTTAGACCAGTTATATCTTTACCTTGATCATTATGCAGTGAGTTTTCTGGATCGGAATCCTCATAAACCACAGAAACACAACTGCTGACTGGATCAAACTCTTCCAAGTAGGGATAGCGTGGAATCATGGAGCCCGCTGTTTTGAGCTTGCTGTTCATGTTTTTGTACTTATCCTTGAGGGTTCTCCAGGTGCGATTGGAGCTAGTTTGGCTGGAGAACTGGTGGGCCAACTTCTCCCAGGTTTCCCTTTTCAACTGGCAAGTGGCCGCATCGGAGTTTTTGTTGTCTATGATATGCCTATAAGGTTCCAGCAGCTCTAGGAGTTTAATCTCCTCGGAAGGCGCAAAGTTTTTTCCCCTGTTTCGCGTTTGCTTTTGAAATGCAGTGAGCTTGAACATTTTGATTTAAATCAGGATTAAATAAATCAGGATTAAGTAAATCAGGATTGACACTTCGAAATTAAAAAGCAAACTAACCAGATTGTAGGGTTCCCTAGCGTTAAGTTAAAGTTTGAAGTTCCAAAAGTTCGGAAACAAAAGTAATTAAAAATCAAATATAAACCATTGAATTGAATTACCGTTATGTACCGGTTTTTTAACTTTTTAAATTCGATTAATGGAGTTTCCGATAAAGATTTTTCTACCGTGAGCTATCGACTATTCGATTGGCCGCCTGTTGCCACCGATAGGCAACAAGCGATATGCAGGTCCAATTGGCACTGTATGACCGTATTTACAAAAACAAAAATAATGTTTTTGTTTTTCCAGTGTTGGTAAACTTGTTCCAGTTTTCTGTAATTTGTAATAATTATTATAATTATATTGCAATTGTTATTAACTCGGCCGCAAAATGATGGTGAGTACAAAGGGGAGCCGGACGAAACGGCATTAAATGGCTGGAAATATTTAAACAATAAATTGCCTGTTTTCGTGGCATCTGAGATGACGCCCCGCCCGCACACAAAGAAAGTCTTATCATAAAATGGGCGTAACTAGAGTGCACTGCGGTTAATGGTTCTTTTGCCCCCTAGGACGGCACGGATGACTCAAACCTGCTGAGCAGTCCCTCCGCCAACAACGGCGCCACAATGGAAATCGTCTCGCCCACAAATCCGCTGGCCACTCCGCCAGCAACAGGCGGAGCACCTGCACCCAGTGGGGCCACCAATGGCAGCGGATCGGCCACATCGCCGGACAGCTCCTCCTCCGCCCCGGCCACGCCCGCCGTTCTCGGCGAGAACGCCCTCCACGTGGAGATCTCCGATGCGCTGAGCGAAAAGGAGAAGGTCAAGTTCACAGTGCACACCCGCACCACGCTGCCGGGATTCGCGAAAAAGGATAACAATGTGGTGCGTCAGCACGAGGAGTTCGTCTGGCTGCACGACCGCATCGAGGAGAACGACGACTACGCCGGCTACATTGTGAGTTACCGGGTTAAGTCATTAACACGTTGCTAATTTAAGAAAATCCCACCCAGATTCCGCCCTGTCCACCTCGTCCGGACTTCGATGCCTCCCGTGAAAAGCTTCAGCGCCTTGGCGAGGGCGAGGGCAACATGACCAAAGAGGAGTTCAAGAAGATGAAGTCAGAGCTGGAGGCGTAAGGGATAATTGCTCCAAATATGGATTTTATATACTTATTCTGTTTTTATTTATTTGCCAGCGAGTACCTGGCCACCTTCAAGAAGACGGTGGCCATGCACGAGGTGTTCCTGCGCCGCCTGGCCAGCCATCCTGTCTTTCGCGTCGACCAGCATTTGAAGGTATTTCTCGAGTACGACCAGGATCTGTGCGCCAAGCCTCGCAAGAAGATGGCAATCTTTGGTGGATTTGTCAAGTCCCTGGGCAAGACCACAGACGAGATCCTGCTGAGCGCCACTGTTCGGGATGTGAATGACTTCTTCGAGAACGAGCTGCAGTTCCTCACCGAATACCACGGGCATTTGCGCGAGGCAGCCATCCGAACGGAGAAAATGACGCAACGCCACAAGGATGTGGGTGACTCGCATCAGAAGATTTCAAATGCGCTGACGCAACTCTCGACCACGGAGAAGGGGAACGTGGAGACGTTTGTGGCCAAGACGGCGGAGATATTCGAAAGAATCAAGGTGGGTGTGTCCGAATTCCTGTTGTTGTTCAATAATAAAACCTTTTATTCCCAACATTCCATAGAATCTGGAGACCCGAGTGGCCAGCGATCAGGACCTCAAGCTGGGCGACACCTTGCGCTACTATCAGCGAGATAGTGACGCTGCCAAAGCACTACTTATCCGGAGACTGCGATGCTTGGCCGCCTATGAGACGGCCAATCGAAACCTGGAGAAGGCCCGTTCCAAAAACAAGGATGTTCATGCGGTAAGTTCGGGTGATGGTCAAAATAGGTTCTTCCCGAACTGTGTTTTTCAGATCGTATAAAGAGCAATTGTTTTCCCCTTTACAAAGTTTCTAGCGGGGCAATTAATATTCACGCTTCACTAATTACAAACAACAAATTATTTGCGTTCTTGTATTTTATTTCTACCGTCCACAACCCCACATTGCTCTGCTCTCTGCTCTGCCTGTCCCCTCCTCTTCACTCTTTGTGCGTGTTTTGTGGTTCTGTTACTGCAGCCTTTGGAGGTGCAAGAGGTATTTGGCATTTAACGTTTTAACCGTCGGTTTAGTAGATGTGTCGCCACCCCACGTAACTGCTGCATGCATTCCACCGTTGCTCAACCCATATTCACTCTAGCATGTCCTTGTTGTGGCCCACTGTGCTGGGATATAGGCGTTACTAATCCTTTTTAATCCTTACCTAGGCTGAGACTGCCCAGGCGGAGGCGTGTGAAAAGTTCGAATCGATGTCTGCATGTGGAAAGGAGGAGTTGATCGGTTTCCGCAACCGAAGGGTAGCTGCGTTCAAGAAGAGGTGAGTTAGATGCTATATCTCTTGTTATAACTAACAATTAATGCATTTCCGTCTTTCCCAGCCTTGTGGAGCTATCGGAGCTGGAGATCAAGCATGCCAAGACCCAGTACGAGTACTTGCGCCAATCGCTGCTAGCGCTCAAAGAGATTGCCTGAGACGGGGAGCCGGGGGAGGTGGCGCAAACGGAAGCGGAACCGGAAGTGGACGAGGGTTAGGAGGATGAGTCACCCGCACATTGTTTACACACCCCATTGAAACGCACGCCTCATTGACAACCAACAAGACCCCGGGAGACGAAGTAAATCAATTGTTTAATTGCTAAGCAAACAGTTTATTATTGCACAGGCCAGATCGAGTGCAACATTATTACCTTAGCCCACGTATTATATTAACGAATATCCATTTGTTTTGTGAACAGAGCGCTTTTATATTTGTCAAACAAGCATTCCTCTCTCTAAAGCATAAACTACAACTATATTGTAAACACTTGCATTTGAAGCAGAATATAAACGAGAAAAATATTGTACAGAAGGCGGGCTGTTTGTGAGCAGTCAGTATACTAGCATTGCTGGGAATCGGTTTCGGTAGCCAGGCGACAGCAAGGTGTTCCAAAATTTTAGCGTCCCAAGGAAAGCACTTTTCCACAGTCACTGAAAATTGTGTTTCAGAGTTTATTTTAGCTTTCCTCAGTTGAATTTTGGTTTAAAAATCCCCAAGCCATGGATGACTTTGGCGTCTTCGATTACAAACGGCCTGCAGGTCCTAAGGATCCCGATTGGAGGACCTCAACCTATCGCGGACACCGTCACATCACGGATCTGAGGATGGGCAACAAGCTAAATGCCAAGTTTGCCGACAAAGGCATTTATGTGAACGACCCTCTGCTGTCGGAGAAACCCACTTCGGAATGCATGGCCAACTATGTGTGGCAGGTAAGAAGATTAGGCTACGCTTTCTAGCCCGAAATTAACTCTTACACCTTTATCCTTCTAGTATGGCAATCCCAATACCCTGAGGAATCCCTCGCTCAACATGAAAACCCAGTACATGAAGCCTTTTGAGGAGGGCTGTCTTCGCTTCATAAAGCGGAAGATGAAGCCCATCTCAAGTGTCAGCCATGACTCTTTTGTGCTCAAGGAACTGCCCGAGGAGCAGGAAATACTGCCGATTACAATGCCCACTCCGGTGGCGGCCACCAAGCTGATCATCGACCGATCGGAGGCTTCCTACAGCAAGTACCTGGATCCCTCCGCCACCACCTATAATCTCTCTTACGTGCGCTTGACTCCCGAGGATTTGACGGGCGGAGTAGCGGCCCACGACAACATAACCTTCTGGAATTGGTCCGAGAAGATGCCGCCCACACGGAAAGTGTCCCGTGAAGAGGATCCCATTATGTGCGACGAGGGCAACACGCAAACGTGTCCCAAACGGCGATGCGAGTTCCAAAATCTCACGAAAAGAGTGCCTCACTCGGGAATGGTCAGCGAGGTGCGGGCTAACTTCACGGATCCGCGGTTCCGAAAGGTGGATTTTGATCCGGGTGTAAAGCCTATTCTGGTGCACGAGGAAGTCACACCGTTTGCCACAAAGAGCGAATACGGCATCTACGGTTCTGGAGATCCCGTCATCAAGTATGTTTAGGAGTTCTCTCTTTAAATCTGTTTGATTTTCCCTTTAACTAAATTTATGTTAAGCAAAATAGAGCATATGGTACCTAACATCAAAGTTTTCTTTTCATATACATATCTAATGACAGTGGATCTATTTTATTGCATTTAAAAAAATTGAAATTTCATTTTTTAGCCCAAATAATTTAAGGAAAGTCCAACAGCGATACATATATGCTAGCAGTGTGTTTATAAGATCGGATCATTCGAATGAGGTGAAGCTATATGGAAGCAGGTGGTAGGCGGAAGTGACCAGCACCTCATCGGTGTCTTGGATCGCCGGAATACAGTTCTCCTGCTCCGGCGGCGGCGCCTTGGCAATGTAAATGGGAATGTCCTTGTGCACGAACTCCACGATGAACTGGCGGCAGACGCCGCAAGGTGTGGTGAACCCATCCGGATGATAGGCCACCACAGCACCCGCCGTGTACTTCTTCTCGCCCTCGCTAATGCCCTTGGCCAGGGCGCATCGCTCTGCACAATTTCCCGGAGTGAAGGCCACGTTCTCGATGTTGCATCCCGTGTAGATCCTACCGCACTTGGCACGGAAAGCTGCTCCCACTTTAAAGTTGCTGTAGGGGGCATAGGCGCACCTGCGGGCGGAGAGAGCTGCCTCCAGCAGTTCCCGACCATCTTCACCTGCGAAGAAAAGAGTCGGAGTCATGAAGATGAGTGGGTCTACCTTTTCGATCAAGGAAACACTTGCCAACAGCGCAAAAGGCCACCGTATACTCCTCCAACATCTGGGGGTGTACAAGGTTCTCCGACTCGCTGGCTCGTCCCCTATCTCCATTGAGACGAGCCTCCCGGCGGGCCAGCTCACACAGCAATCCCTCCAAGGTCATCATGTAAGACCCCAAGACCTTTTGAAGCCTTTTCTGGCGCATCTCCTTGATTTTACCACCTGCGCACTTGGTTCCAGACTTCTCCTGGCGACGAGCCAGCTCACACTGCAACATCTCCAGATCCTTCATCTTCTTCTCCAGCTCCTTACGCTTGAGCTCATCCTGCAGGTCGCTCAGGTTCTTCATATACCGCTGAAGGAGCTTCCGTTTCTCTGACATTTTTTCAACTTCAAATTTGTAAAAAAAAAAAATGGATCAACTATTTTTGAGAGCCAGAAACGTATACTGAATTTGTTGGCAATCTGTAAAACTCGAATGTCACCTTATCCGAGGAAAGTGAATTTTTCTTTAAATATCTACTGCAATATGTTATTGTTTATTAAATATTGTTTCTTACCAATGTACTACCAATCGAATTCTTATCTACCCAGAAATAATTAACAAGTACTATTTTAATCAAAGTATCATAAATTAATACAGATCAATGCATGCATATACCTAGTGGTATCGTTAATCACATGTGTACATATGTAGCCATTGGTGAAATCTAATACTTAAGCTGGCGTTTTTGATTTCGTGTTTATCAAGAATATGGCTTAGTTCAAATTTTTCACAAATAGGGAAATCCCCTGTATAGAGTTTTTGATTCTCTTTCAATTGCCAAAATCTATAGAAGATTAGAGCACTCTTCACTTGCTTAATAGTTCACTTTTGTTACTTTAAAAGAGAAGATCTTTTTACTAAAAATACAGTAAATTCTTTAAGATGCCAGGACATGGAGATACTTCTAAATTAACATATGTACGTATGTTAAAGCCATAAAATATTATCTACTTCCACATATTTTTGTTGAAATATTACCCCTTGTTAAGTAGTGTAGTATTCTTTATTTCAAGTGATTAGATTAATATAATATAGATTACGATCGACAAGGGGTTGTGGGGCAACCTTGAACTAGGTCCCTTCTCTTTCTCCAGTGCAGTGGTGTTACTTTCGATAAGTGCGAAAACTACTCGGTAACAGATTGAAGATGGAGGTGCTCAGGACTGGATCGTCACTCCGCAGAGGTTCCTCCTCTGCCGTAATCCTCGCATCTATGGCCTGCGCCACGTAGATGGGTATATCTTCGTCGGCAAACTCCCGGATGAACTGCCGGCAGACGCCACAGGGAGTGGTGAATACATCAGGTTCGTAGGCCAAAACAGCTCCTACGGAAAATTCGGTGACTCCTTCGCTGACGGCTTTCGCAAGGGCCGTTCGCTCCGCACAAGAGCCCGGCGTAAAGGCGGCGTTCTCCACATTGCATCCGGTGAAGATCTGTCCACCAACCTTGGCCCGAAAAGCAGCACCCACTTTGAATCCACTGTATGGCACATAGGCTCGCTGACGTACTTCAAAAGCAGCTGTCAAAAGCTCTTGAATCGAGGGATCTGGAAGGTAGAACAATTCACGTCATAACAGTAATTAGAATATGATCTTATAACAGACACCAATTATAATATCTTGGTAATTCAAAATACTTAAATATGCATAACAACATCTTAAAAATAGATAACTACAAAGATATGTTAAGATCGGTTTCTTATTATCAATCTGGAGGAGGAACCTTACCCAGACTGCCGAATGTGACCACCTCTTCCGCCTTTTCCGGCCGTGCAAAATTTTTGGTCAGATGTGTCATTATTATTTAATACTTTTAATCAATGGGGAGGCACGCCTCTTTCCTTAAAATATGTCTTATTTTTAGCTAAGCGAGTGCGTGGCTCGTTGTTTCTCCTCTGAACGTCCGCTGGCAAATGGACGGTTTGTGGTGATGGTGTCGCGCGAAGTTGGCTATGGTGACATAAAAATAAACACTTGGCCAACTCGGAGCGGGAAAGAGAACTATCCGGCTGATAAGCAACGATCGTCGAGAGAAGAGAAAAACACAAACAGATGCGTCGTGCCGTGTACAAACTATTCAATCAACTTATAACGAGGGGTGGGTTTACAGAATATAACAAACTGGGGGAGTCACATAAACAATATTGCACATGGATTGCAGCGGGCTTGCACCCTGTCCCTATCCGGTTGGGCTCCGCTCTTCCTATTTTCCGTTCGAGAAGCTGAAGCCGTTGGGCAGCAGTTGAAGAACGCTGGTGCAGAGCACCCTTAGGGGCAGATTTGTCGGCCTGGCGGCGTACAGGGGGATGTCCTTGCCGTTGACGAACTCCGAGAGGAACTGCCGGCAGACGCCGCAGGGTGTGGTGAAACCATTGTCCTGCTGGGCCACCACCGCACAGGCCACAAAGTCGCGTTTGCCTTCGCTGAAATAAAAATATCACTTTAGTATTTTCTTTAAACTGAATTATTAAAAAAATGATCGGATTATAAAGAAAACTCTTTTAAAAGGGAGTCGAAAATCGATACTTTTTATTAGAAAGTATATCAAAATAGTAAGACTGTTTTTGGTTTAATACCATAACTAAAAACTCGAAAACTATACCGTGTTATCTTAGAACTTAAGGAAAGAATTTTTTAAAATATTTATTTTTCAAAACGATTTTGTTGTAAAATATGTACTGATGTTGCCCAGGGTAAATAGTGAGGTATTCTGTAATGCATCAATAAAGACCTACTGATTAAAATTCCTACTTGACCTCTAGGGTTATCTTGTTATTACAAATTGTATTTTAGTTTTTAAGTTAAGAACCTCAGCTAAAACAGAATACTTTATGGATTTGGTTTTGATTCTTTGAAATATATATGCACATGTGACATCCCAAGGTGTTGACCCACTGACCTGATGGCCTTGACGGCTGCAGTCCTCTCCGCACAAATGCAGGTGGCATACGCCCCGTTCTCTATGTTGCAACCGGAATATATTGTGCCATCGCTGGTCCGCAGGGCAGCTCCCACGGCAAAGTTACTGTAGGGACAGTAGGCCTGCTTCCGGGCCTCGGTGGCTGCCAGGATGAGCTCCTGAATCGAGGGATCTGAGGTGGGAACAACGCATTAGGTTGATTTATTATGATTTCTCCGAACTTCGTACCCAAGCTCTCGAACTCCCGCACATTGGGCTCGTCTCTGGCTCCGTTGATAAACACCTGTGTCATGGCCAACGATTGTTAATTAATATTTCGCAATAGAAAAGCAGCTCAACAAATAAACAGCTCCAATTCTCACTGCCACCACAAAAGCACAGACTGCAACAGCTGTTCTGAAAAGGGGAGTGGGTGGGATTGATTTTTAGGGGGTTTACATTTTAAGATAGTCAACTTAAATTCAATATTCCTTAAAACCTTCAACCTTTTTTTTTGTTTTTCATTAAAAAAACAGTTGACAATGACTCTTTTTTTTTTTTTTTAATTGAACTTTTTTTTTTGTATTTATGTTGTGATATTACATATTTTAATATCTTGGGGGACTTGACATAGGTCCCCTTTTTGAGACGCCCCTGTCTCCTCCCACTCCCAGCAGCGTTTTCCAACACTGTCACTCGCCATGTAAATAAACAGCTAGATTGTGGGTGAATTGTGTTTGTGCCATACACATACTGCCAGAAATCCGAGAACTGCGTCGCTTATCGTATAATTCCAGGCCAATCGGAAAAATTAGCGACCGATTTGGTCAGCACTACCACCGGATAGACCGTGAGTGACTGTTTTTGTGGTTTTCCCGCACAAACTTCCACCTCATTCAGTGTAATAATGTCGACGAACCCAAGACACCAGCGACCAGCGTCCGAGGACGTACAGATCTCGATGGGCGGGTCCGGCGGAGGATCCGGCGATGGCGTGACGGACAGACTGCCACCGGTTAGCGAGAAGGATCAGCGCTTCCCCTACTGCATCGTTTGGACGCCCATTCCGGTGCTCACCTGGCTTCTGCCCATGATTGGGCACATGGGAATTTGCACCTCGGCCGGGGTGATCCGTGACTTTGCCGGCCCCTACTTCGTCTCGGAGGACAACATGGCGTTCGGCCGACCCACTCGCTTCCTGCGATTGCATCCCAAATACGTGGAGAGCGGCAGCTACGCCTGGGACGAGGCTGTGTCCAAGGCATCCGTGCTCTATGGCACCCGCATGCACAACATCTTCTGCGACAATTGCCACTCGCATGTGGCCACCGCTCTCATAAACATGCGCTACAAGAACAGCACCGGCTGGAATATGATCATCCTCAGCATGTGGCTCTTCGTCTGCGGGCGCTACGTTGGAATTGGGGGCTTCATCAAGACCTGGCTGCCGTTTGCGATTCTCCTTACCGTCTGCATACTGCTGGGCATCTACTTTTAGTGACTAAGATTATGATTAAGGGGACTTGTGTGTTGTAGTCTAATAACATTTGTCTGTGTATAATTTAGAAGAGTATTGAAAGAACGGCACGGAAGCAATTAAGGTAACTTAGTTTGAGCACTTTATCTATGTATTTATGTATGTCGTGCAATAAACTAAACGTTTTATTCATTTAGATATGCGCTTTAACTACACATCATGAGCCAGATAAGGAATATAACTAATAGCCTTTTAAATATACCATTCATTGATTGAAGCTATGTGAAGTAGGTCATTTATTAACGGAATTCCCAATGAGTAAAGTCTAAAGATAACGTTTATTCACTGGGTTCGTCCCATTAGAGTGCTCGCTTACATGGTTTATAGTACAACAAAAGTCTTATAACCTAAAGTGTGGCGTGTGGATCAACTTATGTATATTAGTTCTCGACGGCGCTGGTAATCTCTTCAGCCACTTTCAAGAGTTCCTTCCACTGCTTTATAGAGAGGGAGATGCCCTTTTTGCCGGGCAGCGTTTTGCCGCTCTTCTCGTAGTATTCTCGAATGTCCACCGATTTGCGGCCACGGAACTCGCTGACTCGCACCTGGCGAAGTCCTTCGAGGGTCCAAATGTTGGCCTCATCTCCGCCAGAATCTTTGTCCGCTGAGGACTTTGGAGCTGCAGATTCCTTGGCCTTCTTGCTAGCCGGCTCATTGCGCTGTAGATAAGACAGATGTTTGTACTGATTGAAGTCAGTTTATGTTTTTTGACTTGACTTACATCCTCTGGTCCGCTGTCGCTCTCTGAAGAGGATGCCTGTACCTTCTTCTTTGTCTTGGGCATGTTCCCGCTTTTAATTTCCTAAAGTGACAAGAGAAAAAAACACAAGCCGGCGAAAAATGCGTGAAAATTCGCGCTTGTTAGGCAGTGTTGTGAAATGCACGGAAGAAGAGCCGCAAAGATATAGGTTAGGCGATCGATACATCGATTTATTTTACAATCCCAAAGTATCGATATAAATTTATAATTTTCTGAACTGTTTACAATTTTTTAAACTAAAAGCATGAGTTATATTATATTTTTCCTTGTTATTAACCCTCTAAAATATTCAGGAAGTTTCGAAAAAATAAAACTATTTTCCCCTTACTTAATTGTAAAGTACATAATTTGGACAGTGGTACTAGCATGTTAAAGAGTTGCCCTGATTTCTTAAGGAAATGCGATTTTTATAAAAGAAAACTGCTGAAATTTAATTGATTTGAATCAACAGTTTAACCGTTAATTGAATACCCTAACTAAAATTCAAACAAACTGTCAGAGCTATCGATTTTTTCCCCCAGCGCTGAAAAACCGCGCGCACTTCCGCACACTGGAGGACCGGCGTCACTTTAGAACGCGCATTTTTTTTGCAGACTTATCATTTTGTAGAAAATTCTCATAGCGTCAGCACCCTGACTGCTACTATAATATTAAGCCGCTAAAGTGTCCAAGTTTCCTTTTCTTTATATCAACTCGCTAGTGGTAAGTGGCTGATAGATCTGTTGTATTTAGATAAAAAGAGACTAAAAGGGTTTCTTGCATGTGCTTGTGTGCGTGTGGCTGTGCAAACTGTTTCGTTTTTTTTTTTTGCAACCGTGCGAAGTTTTTAAATTACAAACAAAATGGGCAAGAAATCCGACAATCCTGAGAGCTCCGGAAAGGGTTCCGATGGCGAGGAGGAGGAGGAGTATGCCGTGGAGAAGATCATCGACCGGCGGGTGCGCAAGGGCAAGGTGAGTGATCCGTACTGGCTGTTCTCGCAGGCTTTTTTGGTCCTACAACGCCATTTTCCACCCGCAGGTGGAGTACTACCTCAAATGGAAGGGCTACGCCGAAACGGAGAACACCTGGGAGCCCGAAAGCAATCTCGACTGCCAGGATCTCATCCAGCAGTACGAGCTGAGCCGCAAGGACGAGGTAAGTAGCGCCGCGACGGGTACAGTTGTGCTCGCTTGGGCTACCATTACATCTTGGTTTTCCATTCGCAGGAGAAGGCTGCCGCTACCAAGAAGGATCGACCCAGCAGCAGTGCCAAGGCCAAGGAGAACACAGGACGCGTCAGCACATCGGCGTCCTCGGCGAACAAGCGAAAGTCCGAAGAACCAGCAGGTATGCGTGCAACCCCGCCAGGGAAATTCTCAAGTGGTCCACTCAATTGAGTGTACCTATACAGATTTTCTCTACACTAACTCTTAAGTTTGCGCGCAAAATTACAACTACAGTAAACAATGGCTAGCCATTGTCAGTTGTCTAGTTACCCTCGAACTTGCATCACTAAAACGCGAAGTAACAGCGAAAGTAGCAACATACATTTTCTTCCATAAGATATACATGTGCCAGAAAGAGATGGATATAGTTGCATTTTTCTAAAATCACTTGATATTGCAACGTACAGTATTTACTCCAAAAAAGTACAGCTTGTGCACTATAATGAAATCACTACATATGCTTAAAAACCAAATCTTTTAAATTAAAAAAAAAAATTATTTTTTTTTATAATGTTATTGTTTACTTCTTAGGCAGAGAGCACTGTTTTGCCTCTATATCATTTTCTCTGTCTATCTCTCTTTCTCTCGCTCGAGAGAGAGCGACTTTCAGTGTTGCGACTTGATGCGACTTGTTTTGGCAATAGTGATTGAAATTTGCATTGCATTTTGTTTTTGCTAAAACTGTTTTTAGGGGTTGAAGATGGTTAACGGTCATTGTGTTCACTATTTTTTTATTGTAATGTGAACAATTTTGAATCCGTTCTTCGTACAGAAAAATATTAGTTAAAAATGTGTAGCAAGTAGAGGGAAGCGTTACAAACCATTGCATTGGTGCCCACACAAACACAATGAAATGTAAGACTTGTAGTTATGTGCGTATTCCAAAGCCACTCGAGCGTTTACAGTGTCGGTGTAAGCAAAGCGTCGACAGAGGAACTCAAGACTCGCGAGTCAGGCCAGATGTGCCCACCTGTGACTTCAAGCATATAAGTTCTTGATCATAATCATTAGCCTACTCAGGGATGGGTCTGGAACAAAATTGTTGAGGGTTGTTGTCTTTCGATTTGAAGGAGGAAATTTCTGAAATGTTAAACTAAGTTAATATACCAGTTTTTACCGCCACTTTACCTGTATCGGCGTCTCACCCTAGACGAGCTAGACATGTCCGTATAAACTTCGATTTTTGGATAACTATAAATTTCTTAAAAGTTGGGATCAAGCAGGCAGGTTCTGTAATGTCTACGGAGCATTAGATTATGTTAATAGTATTCTTTCAAATCCCAGAAGTCAGCAAAAGAATAGTTTGAGATTATACATAAGTGTTTGCTGAGCCAATAGAATTTTACCTATCGCTAAGTGCAGGCATAGATCTTCCGGTAACATGCCGTCACAGGAACAGTATACAACAGTGGTCGGTGGGTACACATAGAAAAGCTGTGCGTCTAAAGTAAAGTAAAGAGTGATAATAACTGACTGAAGAATATACATATTTTTATTTTGAGATCTAGTGGAAATTTATATTTCAATTTGCATTCTGCAACTAATGCGATTGTTAAACTACAATTATTTCTTAGCACCCGCTGGCAACAAAGCAAAACGTACCACAGACGCGGATCAGGATAGCAACGCTTCAGTTACCGGCGCTACCGGATTCGATCGAGGCCTGGAGGCAGAGAAGATCCTCGGAGCCTCCGACAACAACGGTCGCTTGACATTCCTTATTCAGTTCAAAGGCGTGGACCAGGCCGAAATGGTGCCCTCCTCTGTGGCTAATTTGAAAATCCCCCAGATGGTGATCCACTTCTACGAGGAGCGTCTGTCCTGGTACTCGGATAACGAGGATTAAATATTACGACCTTCCTAGAATTATGTCTGGCCTCCACGCAGGCGTTTTGAAAACCCCCTCACAACTCATGAAGCTTCGGACTACATTTACATTACTGTCCAGCATCAATGTTTGTATTTATGATTAACATTTTCAACGAATAAACAAAAACCTATGTTCAGCTGGAGCCTATTCAAGTAATACCAACTAATATTCCTGTTTGGTTTCAAGGTCGGGGTCTGATGCGCATGTGTTGACCATATGGCAGGAAGATTTCCTCTATGGCACACTCGTCATTTTCAAGGTCATCGATTGTGTTGAGCGTAAGGCGTCGTTGTGTGTGGGTTTTCAGATCAAAGTAATTTGGGATTTTTTGAGTTTTTCATTATCTATTGAAACCTAGAAAAAATCCAAAGGCAGCAGCGCCATATGTTGATAGATTTAGAAATCGAATCAAAAATATGTTGATGTACCTAAGAATTTCGAAGACATTTGGTTGGAAGAGATTTCTGTGACACCTTCGTACATCTGTACTTTGCTGTAGACTAGCGGATAACTGATAGTCGAGGGACGATAGCATCCCTTATTATTTATTTATGATTAGTTACTTCCTTCCCTAGTTATTTAACAGTTTGTTGGCCACATTGCATTCGGAGTTCTCTAGGACATTGCCGCAGCAGGACCAGTGACGTCTTCCCGGATGTCCTACGTGACCATGACCACAGCCACTATATCCTGGCATTCGACCCTCACACGAGCACATGACATTTCGATTGCCCTTTCCGGAACAGAAGGAGCAGCAGTGGTATATGCCCGTATGCGGACGAACCTGACGCGCCTGGAAGGTGAAAGGACCTCCCTTGATGGGCCGCTCGTTGATTGTGATCGTCAGGATCAGGGCGCCCTGGGCATCCGGCGTGAAGGAGATGTTGTAGGTGCCATCCCGATTGTCCGATACCTCCACGGGCAGGAACTTGGAGCTCGAGTCCTTGTACTTAAGCATGCAGTTGATCTCCAGGCCTCCGTGACATAGGGAAACCCCATCGGCATCTCGGGAGTGCAACAGAAGATCGGCCTTCTTGTGAAGTCGCAGCTGGGAGAACCCCTCCCACTCCAAGGTGCACAGACCAGGCTCCACCACCTGCATGGTAATGATGCCATACAGAGGAATATCGCGCTGGTCCTTCGTCGCCGGAGCTCGGATTTTGGGTAGGAAGTGTAGAGAGTCGGAGATCTGTTTGGAAAGTTACATACCTTATATAGTTTAATGTTTTTAAATCAATGGTTGGTTAACCCACTTTCGGATCCACTGGCGGCTTAAACTGTTGACAGTACTCCAAGCGCCTGAGAAGTATGGACGCATAACTCAGGATCTCCACATCGGCACCAATCTCACACAGCTCTTGACTGAATCGCACTGCATCCATGGCCTGCTGCGTGCGTTTCTCTAGAGGATTATCATAGATAACAAAAGATTTACTTAAGCAAGGAAAAAATCTCACCTAAATCCAGTTGCTGCTTAAGGACAACCTCGACTTTAGACTCCCTAGCTCTACTGATTTGTTGGAGGAGGGTCCTACGATGAACATCCAATGCCTCGATGTAGTTTTGCATGTACCGCTCCACTTGACTCTGGATATCATCGCATCTGTTGTTGATTCCACGGGCGATATCATTCAATCTCTCGATGGAGTGCTCTGCATATTGACAAAGCGGACGAGTTTGATCTGTAGCTTCCTTGAGGAGTTTTCCCTGATGTCCTATTGCCCGGGATATGGTCTCATGTCGATGTCCTTTATGGAGGAGCACCAGACAATCGGTGCAGGCCAGTTGTCGACATTGGGTACAGAATGCCTTCAGTTCGAAGTTGGTGTGGATTCCACATCGGAGCACTAGCTTGCTATTATCTCCCAGTCCCATTTGCTGCTGCTTTTGTTTCCTGGCGCGTCTCAGCTCAAGGATGCTTCTCATCCGGTGATTGGAGGTGCTTCGTTGCCTTTCGTGAGCCTCCTTGCACAAGGTACAGAGATTCAAGGTGCAGCTGATGCAATGGTAGGTGGCCTGGAAGGAGGATAAGAAAGTGGACAACTACCCAAAAGACTTCGTCTATCCTTACACTGATCTCATCGGTGCAAAGGGAACACCACACTTTGGAGATTACATCCTCCCCAGCCTGTAGTCGCAGGGCCTCGATGCGTCTTACTATCAAATAGTTCTGGGGAAGCTGACGCACTCCACCCAAGGGGAGATCCGTGGGATAGTTGCAGGTATGACAACGGATGCATCGGATAGGTGCTTCGCTCACAAAGCTTCCTGTGAAGCGGGTCCCAAAGGAACTAGTCGAACGCTTACCTTCACTCTTGGACTGTTAAAGAGATTTGGGTTTAATATGATTCTGCACTCTTACCATAAGTGATGTATCTCCACTCTTACCCTGATCACCAGGCGATCCATGGACTTCTTTCTTCTAAGACTAAAACTGGCACCTCGCTGCCTGGCTGGCGAAACAGTAGCCGTGAGTTCAGCACTAGATCCACCCATCTCCGATCTCAGGCTGTAGCTCGAGGGATCCTCGCTACGGGTTGGATCCTGATCCCACAAGGACTCGTCCTTGAAGTTCTCGCTTACCAGGCACTGCAAACAGAAGGAGTGTAGGCAGTACAGGGTCCTGGGATCCGTGTAAACATCCAGACATATGCCGCACTTGAGATCATCCGTGAAAGTTATGGTGCTCTCGGGTGGAGTACTGGGTCTCAGGGTGATGCTGGGCGAAGGTGAAACTCCTGGCGATACCGCCGGCGAACGTGAGGGACTCCTGGCCAGTGGTGATGGAGCATCGAAGATCTCTGGCCTTGGAGAAGCTGCCAGCAAAAGTTGCGGTAGCATTTGCATCTTGGGTTGAGAGGTGTCTGGTGTGGGAGGAGATATCCTCAGTTCGGGAGAAGCCTTCAGGCTGAGCAGCCTCTTCGGAAGCAGGTGATCCTTGGATTTGATGGGCTGGGCCACCGTGGCATTACTCGCCTGACTGCTGCTGCTACTTTGGACGGATACTGAGGAGGCACCACTGAGTATGTTGTCCAGCAGGGATTCGGGAGAAGTGGAACTACCGCCTCCGGCCAAGCTGCTGGTGGGCTCACTGCCACTGCCACTGTCCATGTCCTGCGATGCAATATCCTTGATGGTTAGCCCAGAGGTCCCTGCTTGGGCGCTATTCGACAAACCCAAAGTCCTTGATCGCCTAATAGAGCTGTTTGGCGCAAATACAGGTATTTTAGGCACCAAAGGAGGTTGTACCACCGAATTTGCTTCAACTTGGGGAGCAATCGTGAAGGTAAAGAGTTGGGGTGCCGATTTCCGACGCACTGCATCTGACTGGCTTGCAGCCTGAAGACTATTCTGCGAAGTCTGTTCGTTCTTACGCAGGGAAATCTTGGCAGAGCTCAGCTTTAACTTAAGTTTTCCCTGGCCCCCACTGGAGGGCACAACTGGTGGAGGCGAAACTGTCGGAGCCACCACTTCCAAATCCCCCTGAATGCGTTCATAATCAATTAGCTGATTGCTCTTGCTTCCGACACTCGACTTCCGCTTGAAAATGATCTTGGAGTGGTTCGTCCTGCTCATGTTTCCAGGTTATGCAATCCTGCAGCTTGGCCCATGGATTCGTAGCAATCTGGAGCACCAACGAGTGTTCCCTTTGCAATTGGGACTGTGACTGCGACTGGGTTTTGGACTTGGTTGCTGCCTAATCCAATTACATTCCGCATTGGAAGCTCAGGGCGCACTGCGAATGGAGAGGTGGCAAAAGTCTGACAATGACAATTGTGCAATTATATGTTGTGGTTGCTCATTCTAAATAGTTCTCCCATGAAGACCTGTCACTCGCTATTGATTGACTATTCCGATTTAGTGGCCAGAAGACCAAATCGGAACATCTTCGGAACTACTAAATTGTGTGGAAAATACAAACCTACCTAAGTGGTACCGCCATTCATTCATCTTGATAAATCCGATTGGAGAAACCACATTAGAAGAAATGAGAACTCTATTAACCAACGTGACTAAGACCACCGAAATTAAAACTCTACACTCGGATCTCATATAGCCAGTGATTCATAGGTAAGTAAAACACTCGTTTCCTAAATACATCATTGTTTTAAAATAGTGTGTTTCAGGAAACAACATTTTTATTCATGAAAAAAATTAGGAATACGTATAAATATATATTTTGTATATCACAGAGAAGGAATTCTCATGTTAGCTATTAAACTAGCTCGATTGGTAAAATTTTCTAAACTTAAATATAATTAAAATGTCCAACAACCCAAAAATAATACACCAAATTAGTATGATATAACATAACGTTACAAATTATTTGAAATACTGATATAACAATTTTCTTTTTTTTGCTGTTGAATGCATCTCCCATCGTATAAGTTCCGTTAATAGCTCCATTAGCTGATCAAATGGTCAAGTAATCAAGTAACCACTCGTATTGACATAATACAGTGAAGATTACAAAAGCCACGGGAAGCTCTCTCTTTCTCCCACCTCGTACTCTCGCCAAAATCACTCCCCACTCACAAATCTCACAGTTACACGGAGCCGCCCGCTCTCTCGGGCAAAATAAATGGGTGGGAGAGGGAGCTTTTCGAACCCAGTTCTCGCATGGTATAGGGGTATGTTGTATCCATTATAATGGAACTAAAAGACATTCTATTGCATTTGTATTTTTAACATAAAGAAGGGTATAAAAAATGGTTTTCATAAAAAATTAGTTTATTAACTCCTTTTTAATCATGCTATACAAAGGCTTCCTCAGTTACCACAGACCTCCTGTCTTATAGATTGGGTAATGGGTATACGAAGGTCGGGTACCTCGGTGCTAGTATTCCCACTTGTTTTTTTCAAGCAGCTGGCCCAGTGCCTCTTTTTTTCGACTCGCTCGTACACATCAGTTGCAGTTCGGAAGCGGAATCGGTTGATGTTGTTGCTGCGGTTCGGACGTGGATACTTTTTAGTTTTGTACAATCGTATTTTCGACTTGAAAGAATCGGCATAACCGGGCAGAACGGACCGATAAAACTTTCCTCTTACTCTCGCTTTCCGCTCAGCGATTTACATTTTCGGTTTTAGTTTTAATGTGGTTGTGTTCGGTGTAGTGAAATAACATTTATAAAACCATTCCAAAACCCATGGAATTGAACGGAATCCGTTGACCCTTCGTGCCACAAGACAATTTTCATTGCGATTCGCGGATTTCTTGGTAATTAGCTCTGGCTGGCTGTTTATCGTGTGTTTGCTTTGGTGTTGATTTTCGTGCGGGACGCACAATTTTCCGTTTGGCTTTGGTGCTCCAGTTCTGAAAACAACCCCACCTCCGTAAACCCCATCGTTTGCCGGTCTTCAACAATATGGAAGCGGTACGTACTCGCACCTTTCGCCGGTCCCTAATGTTAAATGGTATTCATGAGGAGCGGGGGACCCGGCATTTGTGTTACAAAGTCCAAGTCCAGGGCGATAATGCTGACAGAGATATTGCGTATAAGTTTAAAGTCTCTTCTTTCCGAACTGAGATTTCATCGGTTCCGATTGATCTTCGTACTGATCAGTCAATGAACTGAAATCGCAGCCGAAATATCCCATTAATGAAATTTTTTCATAAAATCGTTTGCTCTGTGTTTTTACATAAGTTTCTCTCTTAAACCCCAATTATATTACCTATACAATAAGATATTATACCCAACCTGGCGAATGTCAAAGTATCCTGAACATGTTATCATCAATGAGCTTGTTATAGCAATTTTAAAACGTTTTATAATCTTGTATACGTTTGCAAAACATGTCAAATAAATAATACATTGGGTAATGGGTTAAAGTCTCTAACACATTGAGATTGGCCCGAACGCTTTGATTTCGTATTTGATGAATAATAAGCAGGCACCTGCTGATAAGACCTGATTCCCATGACTCCACATGGAGAATTGTGGATTAAGAGAATAAAGTCTTCTTCGTTTAATGATGCCGGAATGAGCGAAATAGGGAGTATAAACTGAGATAAACTTTTATTGGGGGTAATATATAAATAAACGAACCGAGATAATTGTTATTAGCATGAAATTTAAAAGTTGTTATACTGTTTTTAAGAAAAGATTTTTTCCTACAAGTTTTGGATCAGTTTGTAGTTATCCCATTAAGATAAACTATAGCAACAACAATAAAAAACTTAAAAACCCAGACGGGCAATCATTATACGTTTTTAAGACCATTTCGCGCACTTGTTCACACAGAAGATATAAAACTTTAGAATCTCAGTACCAGCTGCATTATTGTTAATTTGTAAACAAAAAAAGTCATACGGTGGTGACACAGAAATCACTTCAGCGCTAAATCTTCTACATATCTGTCAATAATATCTACAATGTATTTCTCTCGATAGGTGGAGAAGAAAGGCATGGAAAGCTACAGGTTCGGCAGTGTGGACTATATAGTTTTCCTTGGCATGATCGTATTGTCCACCGGTACGGGAATCTATTTTGGGTGCATCAAGTGAGTGACCTTCAATTCCACAATGCATTGCCAAACAATTGAGTTAATTACAGGAAGAGCAAGAAGAAGATCGAGGAGGCGGAACCCACTCTACCGACAACCATGCCAGAAAGGCGAAAGCACGATTTCGGATCGGAGAAGATGAGCGAGTACCTGTTGGGGTCACGCAATCTGAAAGTTTTCCCCGTTGCCATGAGTCTGATAGCCAGGTATTGTTGATGATGAGATAGTGCTACCACTAGGAATCCCTGTAATCTGTACCCTTTTATTTACAGCTATATATCGGGCGTCACGATACTGGGCACCACCTCAGAAATCTACAATTATGGCACGCAATATTGGTTTATAGCCATCGCAATCGTTCTCCAAGGCATTGCCGTCTCCTATGTCTACATACCCGTATTCTCAGCTCTTCAAGTAGGCTCTTCGTATGAGGTAAATACTAGAAGGAACCTGATTTATTGATTTACAATGTAGTGATAGAAGAAGTAAAACACTTAAATCCTCAAGTGTCTATTAGGGAAGTTGTTTAAATGAGCTTTACACGTATTTTATGAGGAATATTTTATATTCCCAAAGCTTATAAGTCATGTGAACTGGGGAAGGAAACCCTTTTAAAGAGAAATAATGCTAAAGAAATTTATAAATAGAAAAGTTAGACTTCGCTTCTTGATAATAACGTGACACTTTTAGTTGCTTCCGTCTTCCCCCTTTCACTGCTTCATTTATTTGCCATCAATGAACGGAAAATGTAGTGAACACTTTAATTAACTGAGAATCGGAGACCACCCTCCTCAAGTGGAATTTCTTGGACTTTGCTCTCGCCCACTTGTTGCGATGTTTTTTCTGTATCTCCATGGGTCCGATATGATTAATTGCAATGTATTTTGCAGCCACTTGACAGTTGTGTTCAGGCAATAGTCAAACTTACGTTAGCTTTCTTATAGCCAGTAAAAAATATTAAAAGCATTTCATTATAATGTTTAAAGACAACTTCGTTTTCAGTACTTGGAGATGCGTTTCCATTCGGTTATACGTAGTATAGCATCGTTTATGTTTATACTCGATGAGGTAAGTACAAGTTCAAATCGAGTTTCATTATTTAAATATTCATTGATCACTCATTTCAGATACTGTTTCTACCTTTTATTGTGTATGTGCCAGCTATAGCTTTGAATCAGGGTAAGGTGTATTTTTAAATTACTTAAAACACTCCTCTAATCTTTTGATAATATTGCAGTTTCCGGCATTAACCTCCATGTGATTGCAGTGGTAATTGTGGTCGTGTGTGTTTTCTACACTTTTGTGGTAAGTTGTAGACTATATGATCGCTAATTTGTCAAATCATTGCGGTCCTCCAACTGTGTGTTTCCAGGGAGGGATCAAGGCAGTGGTCCACACTGATGCCTGGCAGGTGCTGGTGATGTTCCTTTCCGTCCTAGCCGTGGCTGTTTTGGCTACTATTTACGCCAATGGCTTAAATGTGCTTTTTGATGATGCCGCCAAAGGTGGTCGGCTGATCTTCAACAACACAAATCCCTCTCCATACGTTCGTCATACAGTTTGGAGTGTTCTTATCGGTGGATTCTCATACTGGACGTCTTTTAATGCCGTCAATCAGACCATGGTTCAGCGATACATGTCTCTTCCCTCGCTGAAAAAAGCCCGTGCCTCCATGGCTATTTTTACAATTGGAGTGGCTGCCTTTGTCTCAGTTTGTTGTTATGTGGGACTGCTTATCTTCGAGATGTACAAGGACTGTGATCCTCTAAGTGCGGGATTAATAACGGTCAGTAAATGTTATAAATAACTTTAAATCTTTGCTTACCCTTATTTCTTCACAGCACGACGATCAACTCCTTCCCCTCTTTGTGGTCCAGAGTGTGGGTCACATCTATGGAATGTCCGGATTGTTTATAGCTGGTATATTCGGCGCAGCCTTGAGCTCTCTTTCCGTAGTTCTCAACTCAACTTCCTTGGTGATCCTGGAGGATATAGTTCGCGGCTGCTTCAAGATGCAACCAAGTGAAAGGGCCTCCACCATTTTGGTCAAGTCAACTATCATAGTTCTTGGTTTGGTGGCCCTCTCACTGGTGTTTGTCCTGGAACAGTTGAGTGGAATCCTGAGCATTTGCACTTCAATGACGGCCATCGCAGCTGGTACCACTTTTGGCCTGTTTACCCTGGGAATGCTCGTTCCCTGGGCCAATACTGTGGGCACTGCTGTGGGCGGAATTGCCAGTGCTCTGCTCGCCGGTTGGATATCCTTTGGAACGCAGTTTACCATTGCAGCGGGAGAATTGAATTCTCAAAAGCTTCCCGTATCCGTGGAGGGATGTGTGGGTAATGTTACCCTTAGAGAAAACATATGGGTGGATGAGGAGCAAGTTTTCCCACTGTACCGACTGTCCTACCACTGGATAAATCCCATTGGTGTGGCCACAGTCATCGTGGTGGGTGCACTGGTCTCCCTTGTGACCAAACCCACGAACATCAAAACTCTGGATCCGGATCTAATATCACCAGTGATTCACAGGTACATTAATTGTTTGATGTGTTTAGATACTGAAATTAAACCCTTTTCTTTTTTAAGATTCCTTCCAAAGGAGTGCTTTACCGGTCGAAATCCTAATGCGCAGGCGCACAAAAACCTCCTGAACGTATCCTAAAATAGACGCGCCATAACTTTGTGTGCCAAACTTAATGGAATTGATCGAGATATTTTATTCCACACACCCTGTTTTGTTAGCATAGTATGTAGTGGTAGTTGCTTTGTGGTAGTTACCTTAACAAATAGCCTAGTCTAGTACAATGCGATCCAGTTATTGGATTCGAAAACACAAACCGAAGTACAGGAACCTATGAATCTGCATCTCAATATCCAGAGTGCACAATCATTAGCGTAGTGTAATTATTGTATTATAATATAGCTTTATTTAATTGTTCTGTTCGCATCTGTTCTTCACTTTCCAGCTTATGTTGAAGCATTATTTTTTTGGCATTTCCGATTTGTAGTCAGCAGACTGTGTCTCATAATCTATTCCGTGTGACTTTACAAACATAATGTCTGTGATAAATTCAATAAATAGATCATACACACTGTCCGAATTGTTTACACCTAGAATATAGTCAAGCGATTGCAAAGCAGCAGGAATGATATGACCACTGTTTGGATCTGGGATCTGAGTCTGGAATCTGGCTGTATCTAGTCTAAACTAAGCCCCAATCAGGCGTAAATCACAAAAGATACAACTAATTGACCTTCCGATGATCAGCGGCCGAGGACTGCCCTCTGCTTTTGATCCACTTCCGAAGCTGTAGCGCGATGACAATGAAGCAGAGGATGCCAGCACTCAGGTAGCTGTTGAAGACAAACTGTTGCGGCAACATTTTGCACTTGGAAACCACGTAGTCGTCGGGGGTGATAGTGGCCTAAAATAAAAAGTATATTATTAGTACAAGTTTGGAGGCTTTGACATAAGAGAGAAATATAATACCCACCAGCATAAAGCTGGGATTGACCTTGTTCCGCCAACTAAAGGAGGCCACTGTGTACTCATCGATTCCCAACCTATTGACACTGTGGCAAAAGTGATGTGAATGGCCGGCGAAGGCCAGCCTGGGCTTAAGCAAATCGCCCAGCATATCCGTGGCATCCTTGGAGAGTACATGGAAGCGCTCGCGGAATGTCTCAATGTACGGAGCATCGTGCTCTTCGCACATGGTATCCGATATTCGATACGTCGGGAAGTGCTGGAGCAGGATCGGCTGGCTATATGGGTGCCGCCTGGTGCGGGCGCATTCCGCCTCTAGGGGATACTTCATGCAGTGCAACGTCCGCGAAATGTTCTTCAACTGATCCTCGGCCTGGTTGCAAAACATGCAGCCATCGGCCTCCATGGCCATTGAGTTTATCACCACGAAATGTATCTGTTTGATGGTGAACAGGTTCACCGAGGAGTTGTTCAGATAGTTCTCAAAGCGCGTCATAAAGAAGGGATGCATTCTGGGTGAGACATATATGCGGGGATTAGTAAATGCAATGGGATTTAGAAATTGATTGACTAACTTGTAGTGGAAGCCCACGTCGTGGTTTCCCGCGACACTGATGAGCGGTATACCCGGCGGCAGGTGGAACATCTTCAGGTAGCGCCACACATATTCCTGGAACTGCTTGTCGCTCACCATGTCGCCCTCATCGAACAAGTCCCCCAGGACGAAGACCACGTCCGGCTGGAATAGCCGCGATGCCGCCTGGAAGGCGCGTGTCATATGCCACTCCCGGTACAGCTTGTCCAGCCAGTGGCCGCGGTGGGGTCCCAGGAGATGGGGATCCGCCAGGATCATCGTCCTTAGCGGATCGTCCACATACTTCTTCCGCTTGATCTCCGGCCACTTGCACTTCTGCAGCACCACAAAGTCCGCCACATACTCGCAGAAGATCAGGGCGCACAGCAGGATCACAAAGCAGGCGTATAGAAACCGCATTTCGGGATTTCAAACCGGCTTAAAAAAAATAGTCGCCTACGATTTAAAATAACTTGGAAGTTTGTTTGTTCCACTTGTTGTTGGAGGCGCCAAGCCAAGTGCCGCCTCAATAGCTGGTATTATTTTAGTTGCACACCATAAATTGCTGCCAATTTGCAATAAAAATCATTTATTTCGTATATTATATTCATTAAACAAAACAATAACAAGATTCTCTGCTTCTTCTCCTCTTAGAGGTGGACAATATTCGATTAGTCCAGGGCGATAGCTGCGGCCGAACTCAAAAAAGATAACGATAATGGCCAGTTCGCCTATCGATAGCATCGACCTGTAACGGAATTTTGAATTTTCGGAAACGCCAACAAGATTTTTCGCTGTCAATTTAGTTTCTTATATTCAATACCAAAAGCGATTTATCCACATTTTGACTAGCTGTGATTTATTACACATAAATATATGGATTCACATAAAAATTGAGCCTTAGATTATAGCAGAGTCCGAAGATACCGATTCGAATCGGCCGATCTCATTTGGTACTGGGCTTGGTGTGTAGTGTGCAAGTCTCGGGTTAGTTTCTCTCTATTGCTGGTGCCGAAATAAATATTGCTTATGCCTAGGTAAGAGTACGATAAGATAAATAGAACAGAAGTTTGCCAGGCCCTAAATGCAATGCGACAACAGAATCTATAGCTGATGGTGTCTTAATGATTGCACAGTGCCCGAGTCTCCTCCCTGGTACCAGGTCCAGGTCCAGCTCCAGATCAAGTTCGAGTTATTTTCCCATTTTCAAGACCTAGTTGTTAGTGTGTGTGTAGTAGAGAACTGTATTGCCCGGCAGCTGCCAGTGGGAGGCCTTCAGCTCGATGAGCTGGAGAAGAGTGCGCCGTATGGAGGCCGCTGATTCTCCGGCATTCAAAAAGGCATCGCGAACGAGACCCATCAGTAGTTCCAGTTGCTGTGGCAGCTGCTGCTCCATATCCTGGCCAATGCAGGTCAGCACATAGAACAGGCACTCAATCTGAAAGAGAATGGAGGATTCCCTGTATATTACTTTATCCCCAACAATAATGTGAACTACAAACTCACCTCTGATAGAGATCTTATGGGTGGACGCACGCAATCCTCGCAACATTTGGACAGCAGACTGAGCAGCACCAGCGGCGGAGGAGTGCCCTCGTGGTGGGTGCGCAGTTGGATCTGTCGGCGCTTCAGCTGGCAGAACATCTCCGTGAGGAAGGCCATAAAGGCGGTGAATCGAACACGGGAAGGCGACTTCATGCCCTGGATGGCAAACAGCAGCTGTATGGTGTAAGAAAAATCATACATTTTAAAACTATCTTTGAGAAGATTTGGTTGTTAAGCCAGAAGAATTCTTCGTACCTTCTCGCGCTCCTGGTACCACTGACGGCATGTGTTGAGAAGCGCCTCCAAGAAGGTTTCCTTCTGCTCTCGGGCGATGATGTTGAGACACAACCGCGAGATTGGCAGGGCGAAACGGCGACTCTCCACCGCACGCTTGATGAATTGCGATGTCAGTTCCATTAGACAACGCGAGTTCAGTTTGTTAGGATCCTCCAGAGCCGTGTCAATAAGCGCCTGGATATCTGGCGTAAACTGACCAATGTCGGCCACCTCGTTGCCCAAGCCCAGGCCCAATCCAGCCATGCCTCTAGTCAACGCATCCGCCGACGATAAAGACTTGGAGCGTTGCAAGGTATTACCATTCATATATGGATCGATTCCATTAAGATTTGCCTGGTAGGGCTGGCCATAGTTGTTGTTGAGCTGACCAAACTGATTATGGGTGGCCATTTTGTGACCTCTGGGCTCGGGAGCAAACTTCACACGATTCGTTGTCTGGAAATGAAAGGTTTTTCAGATTATAAGTATATCTAAAATATTTAAAACTATTTTTTAAAAATTGTTTTATGAAATCGGAGTAGTGTCCTTAACGATTTTAGAAAGATGTTTAGAATTCCAAAGAATTAATGAAAGATTTAGTTTTGTCAAAATCGGAATAGGGTTCTTCAAGATTTCAGAAAGATTTTTAGGATTCCAAGGAATTTATGAAATAAATATAGAAAAGCTCAGAAATTCGTGTATGTTTTTGTAGTGACTCTTCAATTTCAATACTAAATTTAGGATATTAAATGAAATTAAACTTACGTGCAGTATATTGCCACTGGAGGGCGAGTTCATGAGCGGCAGCTGACCGCCGAGGGGACTGATTGGATGCGTCACCAAGATCGAGCGATGGTGGTTGGCCTTCAGACCCGGCATGTTGCCCAGGGAGAGTCCGGCCTGGCGGCGATTCACGTTTCCATACTGACCCAAAGCCGGAGCAACTCCGGGACCATTGGTGGGCGGGAAGATTAGCGACGAACTGGAAGAATGTTGTAGACTGTAGTTTAGCTCTGCAAGGAGACGGGAAGAGGGGTAAACAATGGCATTAAATGACTTTGCTTTACCGATTGCTGAGTGCCTCGGCCGGTGCCCCGGAGCTGCTAGTCATTGTGAACTCCTGGGCATTGACGTTCAGCTTGTTGGCGACACCACCGGCCACACCACTAGTACCATCACCACCGCCACCACCGGCTGGAGCAGCCAGCTCTCCGCGCACATCTGATACAGAGGGGCAATTTGGGTTTTTTTTTGGGGTCGGGATACCCAAGAGAGTAAGTGATGATGTGAGGGGCAGGACAACATTGTGTGGAGGGGGCGGAATGTACAGGGTATGAGACAGAGATATGAAAAGAATCAAAAGAAAAACGTGGTCTCAGTAAGTAATCGTTGGAACTGATAAGCTGGCAGCGAAAAGAACAGAGCAACGCGAACTGAGCTCATCCTTGGATGAGATAAGATCAGAAGCTATACTAAAGGCATTGCAGTTTCTTAGTTAGGGCAATAATGATATTATACCTAATAGGAAACACTTCTTTTTTACATCTATTCTTTGAAAAATAAATAAGTTAGTACCTTCTTGGTTTAAATGCATACATCTACAACTGATGGTTCTGATTTAGAATACTCGCAATTCCGATTTTTTGCTTATAATCCTGATAATCGCCTTGTGTAATTGATTTCTTTAAGTTCTCTAGCACCGAACAACCCGCTTAGCACCCAAGCGAAGAGGAGAATTTCTAAAGAATGACTAAAACAACTCACTTGGAGGTCTGTAAATATCCATGGCGGGTTTGCCTCTCATCTGTCCGGTTTGATTGCCAGGCACGTTGAAAGCCAGACTTCTGCGTTTGTTGATATTCTGAAACCGAAAACGCAAATATAGTTGCTTTTCGAAATCAATATGGGTGGGTTAAGACTCACCTGTTGGTTCGAGGTGCGCACAAAGCTGCGTTCCCGGGAGATAACGCCGGGCTGAAATTCAGGCGACTTGCGCACCTTTCGGGGATCATTCTGTTGGCCATTCAGGCTGGCCTGGGCCAGTTCCACTTTCTCGGCCATCTCGCGACTTTCGAGTACTGCTTCTGCTCTATTTAGATAAACTTAATTGACGATGAAAGCCTAATCTTTGGTGGATTATCCTCCGGTTAATCGGTACACAACTGGGTTTCCGCGGAATAAACGTCTAAATATGTGGCTTCAGTATTTGAGTAAATTTGTACATATCACAATAGTTGGTTTCCTTTCTTCCTTTGTCGAGTTTGAGTTCTCTTCTTAATACGATGTGAGGGATATGTGTTCCCTTTTTGCAGATTCAGATTGCAGGTCTGAAATGCGAAAAGAAAATGAATCGTGAGAATCCCAAAGCTTCAGCCCTGAGCCAAACCCATAACATGTTCACCTACTCATACATCAAGTAAAGATACACAAAAACTGTTTACCAAGATTCGAGAGGGGGCCTCAAACTACTTGATCTCTTCGAGCGAGCGGCTTTACGCCGAGCGTAGGAGTTGCATCTGGTTTTGGGGTCTCTGGCTAGAGCACTTCGTCTCCGAGCATGACATCAGCCCCCAGTAATTCTGATTCTGCGGCCCACAAGGAGTCCGGAGTGAGTCTCCGCGAAAGATACACACATAGAAGTACAGTCAGGCTTCCAAAACTGTAGCCGACGAAAATAGCTCTTGAAAAACTATGATATGAATAAACTATGACTTCTTTTCTTACTATTTCATTTAATTTTTTTTGCGAACTAACAGAATTTACTATATGATCCTAACATTTTCGGTTTATAATATATTAATGAGTAATTTCTTTTATTTACTTATAAAAAATCATGTCTTCTTTGGTTCAAAAAGGGGATAATATATTTAATTCCGCTAACATGACTGGTTTGGCACTTAAAATTCAGAGGTTCAAAGATAAGGGAAAATCCTATATAGGCCATCTATTTTTTTCTTTTTCGTTTATATTTTTGAGAACTAATTGAACTCAATTCAAAATCAAAAAATGATGTCTTCAATACGAGTAATATTTTTTAATTTGCCTATATAAATCTTGACTTCCGGTTGATAAAGGTGATACAATATACCTAATACTAGGGTTTCACTTAAATTTCAGAAGTTCAAAGATAAAGGAAAATCCCTTATAGGCTATCTCTACTGTGAGTGGGTACCACCACAACTATGTGAACTTGCCTCGTTAATTGCTCGACAGTCTATTCCCAGATTAGCAAACAGAGTGTTCGGAGCAAGCTGGGCCCCATCTGGGATTATGAATCAGCGCTTGGATACTCACCTTTTAGTGCAAATATGTTTCTTCCAAATTGTTTCGTTGTTGCTGCTGCTGCCTGAGCTTTTGTTTATCTCACTCTATAGAGTATATAGATGGGTATTCGTCGATTCGATTGTTGGTTGTGGCTGCAGCTTAGTTGTTCGTATAAAGATATTTATCTACTTCGTAGATACGCTCTTTCGTTCCTCGTTTAATAATGCTTGGCATGCGCCGAGTCGAGCCATAAGCAGTGTCAAAAGTAATTAATATTTCAAAGCGAAGCTCCACGCCTCGATATTCCAAATACGCAGGAATACTAGATGGTCATGGATTGCGTACTGCCAGATAGAGATACAGATACTTTGACAGTGCCAGCGGCAAATGCAGAGACACACAGATACACACACACGCACAGTGATCACAATTGATTGTGGTGTTGTTGTTCTGCCGGCTGCTGTGCGAGCGAGAGGGCGCGATGAGTCAAATGAGCGGGTGGGTCGTGGTCATTAAGTATACGCACCGTTGGTATCGTCTATTTTTGGTTTGTCGCTTTGTGCTGCTTGTTCTCGGCTTTGCT